GACAGAAGTGATCGGGCACCCCAGTAACTATTATGATCGAGGCAGAGTGCAGGCTGGTAATCGGCTTTCTTCCTCAATAACACAGGTTGCAGCGGCCCACGTTTTTGTTGCCAGTTGGTAGCCATGTAGACACACGCATATACGGGGACGGATGGTAGTAGGGGTGGCAGATGGTGGCAGTAGGGATCTGGAATTTGATATAGGGTGAATTCAGGATAACACTGACTACATAGTTCTGCCTCTGTGCGTAATATAGAACTAGTAACTGGTACTTGTGTTTAGTAGTTTTGAGCCGTACGATAAGAGCAACCAAACAAGCAGATAACAACATTATGGGCAACGATTTGCTGTTCTCTTGTGCTGATCATGCTTGAATATAGTCTAGCTACTTTCGAATGCTCGCAAGATACGAAGTAGACGTTGGCTTACGCAGCAAAAAGATGCTAGATAACTCAACCTAAGTATCAGCGACAGGGTGGTTTAAGACAAGTTATAAATGTCCACCTTCGTATAGTTGCCTCGACCTTTTCTTGAGTTAAAGTCAGTCAGATTAAAAGTATGTAGCAACGTCATCTGGATTCAGCTTCATATGAGCATTCTACTGCTAAAGGTGTAACGGTCTAAGGGCATGTGTTTTGCTGAATGGCAAAGCTAAACAATGCCAAGTTGTCGTCACAAGCGAGATGGTCGTCGTCATGCGCAGTCGGCTGTCACAGTGTATTTTGTTCTTCCAAACAAATGGGTCTGCCGGACCAAGCAAAGAACATATACAGCATATACAGCAGCCAGACACACAGACACAACAAAAACGAGTGTGTGCATGCGTATATCAGAATGTACAACACAAACTACGCCTTCACCGACGCACCTACCTTGCCGACTTTTCCTACCGATGAGAAGTCTCGTTCAGTGCTCAATTCTTTGAACCGCCTTCCCTCGTGAATCCGTGAACTCCTTAAGCCGCAGGCCTAAACAAAGCTTGAACAACGCACCCTCGCACAGAGGTTGCCAACGACCAGGACCCCAGCATGCGCGATCACTTGCTGCTCGATGACATCGTCTGCAGCTTGGTGGTTACACGGTCCACCTAACGCAGCTTGTTTGGGAATGCTTAAAGGGTGATCCGGCTGAATCTGGGTGGACTTTGAAGCTGTGTTTTCCCCAACCCATGTTACAGAGCTAAGTTCACAAGCATTGCACTCGGAAGGTTCTTTGTGCTGCGGCTAGTTGCTGAATCTTCCTTGAAGAGCACACTACGCAGACTGGCAGCGCTTTTCCCTTAAACCTGCAGTACGGATCCGATTCATCTTACAGGTTTGGAACCCCGAAGCTTTGTTCCTTAGAGGTGGGAGGCTTTCCGCATCCATGCTGGACTTCTGCTAAGCTTGAGGTGGAGGTGCTCGGCCAGCTGTTCGGAGAGGCCAGACTACTTGGGGCTTTATGGATGCTTCTATCAAGGCGGAGAAAAACAGCCTGAGCTCCAAACCAGTACCCAGCCGAAGCTTTGAAAGTGCTGTTGCCATATTCTTCGTGGCTTCCTGCGTCTTGAGACTCGAATTCTGGTAGCATGGCGCTGATAATTGTGATGGTGATTGTTACAGTGATGAAGCTGAAGCTGCTTATGATGGCGAAGAGCTATGAGATGACAAACTAGCGCAGATGCCTGGCTTTTCCTGGACAGAGCTGCAGCGAAGAGACGTCCTTCTCAGCTTGACCCGGTGACCCGGCATCTCAGTAGAATTGCTGTTCGGGACAGTCATGTGGTTGGCGGCAGTTTCTAGTTTTGTTTAGCCCATCTGATTGTTGGGAGTGCTTTTCGAACATACAGCGCGGTCTGACGAGCGAAGACAGAGTGCTTGCCCACGGTTTTTTTCAGCACATCATGTTTCTGGACATGTTGAGGGAAAGCGATCAAGGCTAGACCCTGCTTGCAAGTCAAGCTTCGTCACTAAGGCATTGCCACTGCAGGATATCCTCACATAGTTTCAGCAGGCAATCTGGAATAATCTGGATAAATCCGGATCTTTGCAGAACTTGCGATCCAGACAGAGGGTCTTCCAAGGCTGTTGGTCGCACTTTGTCGCGGCGTGTGCCACACTCAGAACACCAAGTATGCATTGCACCAGCGATACTCGCAAGATTCACCCAAACGCTGATTGCTGTCATCGTAAGTTCTTGACATGGCAGTGCTTGTGCTGGTTTTGGTTCGTGTCAGTGGTGGTAAAGAAAAACAAGAAGTAGTAGGTACTGGTACTGATAGGTACTAGTACATGTACTAGTACTAGTACCAGTATCAACCGGTACCAGTACTCCTACTCCTACCCCCACTCCTCCTGCTCCTACTCCTGCTCGTACTCCTACACCTAGTAGTAGTAGTAGTAGTAGTAGTAGTAGCAGCAGCAGCAGCAGCAGTAGGAGTAGTTGTAGCAGTAGTACTAGTAGTCGTGGCCGTGGCCGTGGCCGTAGCAGTAGCAGTAGCAGTAGCAGTAGCAGTAGCAGTAGCAGTAGCAGTAGCAGTAGCAGTCGTGGTAGGGGTAGTGGTAGTGGTAGTGGTAGTGGTAGTGGTAGTGGTAGTGGTAGTGGTAGTGGTAGTGGTAGTAGTGGCAGTGGTACTGGTAGTGGTAGTGGTAGTGGTGGTGGTAGTAGTAGTAGTAGTAGTAGTCGTCGCTGAGTCGTAGTAGTAGTCGTCGTAGTAGTAGTTGTAGTGGTAGTAGTAGTAGTAGTAGTAGTAGTAGTAGCAGTAGTAGTAGTAGTAGTAGCAGCAGCAGTAGTAGTAATAGAAGTGGTAGTAGTAGTAGTAGTAGTAGTAGTAGTAGTAGTAGTAGTGGTAATGGTAGTGGTAGTGGTAGTGGTAGTGGTGGTAGTAGTAGGAGTAGCAGTAGTAGCAGTTGTGAAGAGACCTCGATGCCTAGTGCAATGTTGTTGTCCTAGGTATGGACTGCCTTTGGGCTTCCATACGGAGTAGCTATGAGATGCGTACCAACATGGAGATGGACATGGCGGGAAGCCATGCGCTACCCCATGATCTATATAACTCCGGCGAATGTTTGGCTCAAGCCCAAGCCACGAGCTCAAAGAGCCCGGGGCGAAAGGTACAAATAGCAAACGCTATATTCTTTTGTTTCCCAGGTGACAGCCATTGCGTGTATTGCCCCCTGCACAGACACTTCGACTGCCGCAGCGAAGACGCAGAGAAAAGGAGTCCGAAGTTTGCGTGCAAGGGTTACGACACTCAAGCTCTTACAGTGGGCACACAAACTACAACATAAAGCTCGGTGAGGTGAGCAATCATACGGAATATCAAGACCAAACCCTCACGCAGCAGTAGTAGCAGTAGCAGTCGTCGGCGTCGTAGTCGTAGTAGTAGTCGCAGTCGTAGTAGTAGTCGTAGTCGTAGTAGTAGTAGCAGTAGTAGTAGTAGTAGTAGTAGTAGTGGTAGTAGCAGTCGTAGTCGCAGTTGTCGTCGTAGTAGTAGTAGTCGCAGTAGTAGTAGCAGTAGTAG